TGTCTTCCTTAACATTAGTAAAGGTATCCAATAGATACTAAAGTGACCCACGCTTTTCTTTATAGTTATTTAAATAGTAGTCTATAATTTATTTTCTACTTTTTAGTGCATTATTACATAAAAGCTTGTTATTAAAACTTTTTTTATGAATTTTTTTAAAACTGGGATGGAATTGTTGAGTAAGCAGACAATTTGGAAGTCAAAAAATTAAGTTTTCAATTCAGTTACTGGTTACAATTTAAAGTTTTTATTCTTTAGGTATTTAAAAATCTACAACAAAAATAACGTTCACATAGTTTTTGCCATGCGTATTTTGGAATTATTAGCTCTCATAAATTTTTCATTGAACTTTTAAATTATTACATACCTTTTTTGCTTAATACAAAGTTTGGTAAATTCTATTTATTACTTCCCTTTGTTAATAACTTTATGTAAATGAAAGCAACATAGTAAACTTTGATTTCTCTTTCATAAAAGATTAAATTATTAGATTTAACAAAAACCTGGAATTATGTCACCAAACTATAAAATTACCTGTTTTTATTTTAATGTTTAGTTTGGAAGGGGGTGAGAGAGGTGCAATGCTATTTGTTAGATGATAAACAACACAAAGAATCACAGATAGACTAAAAATATCCGTAGTGTTTATTTTGCTCCACTCTGGTTGGTGTCCAGATGACAAAAGGCCATTTAACAATCTGTTCAGTAGTTCACCAAATATCAACAGGGGGCAGTACTAAAATATTACTAGAAGAAATGGCTGACATAGTTACCCGTCTTGTCTATTTTAACAAATTACATAAAAAATTTAACTTACCAATCGTTTTGAGATTATAAAAAAAATAATGAGTTGAAAAAAATATAATTTATTTCGTTTCTGCGCCCGTTTCTAAAAGTTTCGAACTGTGTTTGTAGAGAGTAATTATGTCCTATGTGAAGCTGGACCTTTAAAGGTCTAAGTAAAAATGACATAACTGATGTTAAATTTAAATCCGCGCTAAAGAGTATGGTTCCTAGGCAACAATGACACAACTTTCCGACATAAATGTCCTGATCAACAAAACACATAGGGCCGACAAGAGGCAACTCGATTAAAAGATCCCCAAGTAAAATATTACCTCAAACTGGCCCCTTAGCTTAGCTTATTATTTGAAGTGTATTAGACTGGAGCTCAGGTAGGGAAATTATTTAACGGAGGACCACTTGTCGCGGTGCTAACACACTGAAATAAACCGTTTTATCCCATATTTTTTCAATGTATTTTGGCTAAAATTTCTTTTTTCTAAATAGCCTTCTGCATATATTTTAAAAGTAAGAAAAAAAAATATAAATCATCTTTATTTCCCGAGTTGCTAAATGACAACTGCCACCCCCTCCTCACTTTTTTCTGCACAATCAATAACAATAGACCCAACATCTTATTGGGTTCAACGCGAGAAGAAGCCGAGCAATTATACGAAGAGAGTTAACCAACCCCCATGACTGAAACATTTCACCTAAATCGTGGCCATTGTTATTATTCTGGTTTGTTATAATTTTCATATCACGCGCTAGTAAATTTACAGCAATACTAAATTAATGTGTATTCAATGGTATTAAATACTTCAGTAAGTGTAAGTTTTTCAATATTTGCAATTTTTTAATACAATAATATATAAGAAAATATAGCTCAAGGTCATTATTAAATATCTATAAATACTACTTAACACCCCAAAATCAACAGTTAAAGTCAACAATTGTTTCACCCTAAATAATCATTTAACATAAATATTTGCATCTGTGTTTCTCGCTAGAGTCCAATAAATGTGACATGTGTGTAACAATCTGCATAAATATAGGTCAAGGTCATAATTAAATATTTATAAATACTACTTAACACCCCAAAGTCAACAGTTAACAAAGTCAACAATTGTTTCACCATAAATAACCATTTAACATAAACATTTGCATCTGTGTTTCTCGCTAGTGTCCGATAAATGTGACGTTTGTGTAACTCTTCTTCTTCTTCTTCGTTCTTAATTGTGAAATATGGTGGAGGATTCAGACAACAAGTCCAACTTCGTGGACAAACCGGACTGTGGTCTCCAGTTTGGCAGGTGCCCGATAAAATTTTTCCTTGAGTGGGGTGGGCTGGGGCCAGTGTCTGACTCGTGCCTGGCTATACAAAGTACATTCCTGAAGTACGTGCTGCGTATTTTCCGGGGCCTTGCCACAAGGGCACATTTCGCCACACCCAACCTTCAGTTTTCTGTGCATGTGTTGATTTAGTCTGTTGTGGCCTGTTCTAATTCGAAAGATTTTGTATTGTTGTTTTCGTGTCAGATTATAATAGCCGTCATCTTTATTGTAGTGAGGGTGTGTGACAGACCACATTTGCGTTTGTTTGTTTTTTATTATTCTTTTTATTTCTTTTGGGTGTAGCGAAATTTCCGGTTGTGGTTTCTTTCCCCCAATTTTTGCCGGCTGGTCTGCGATCTTGTTACCCTGGATCTGGCAGTGGCCCGGGATCCACTGCAGCACAATTCTACTGCAGGTATTTTTTAGCCTCTCTAGTGCTGTCATAAGTGTTTGAATATAGGACTCTGGATTTTTTAGGGATTGCAGGACTGATTTGGCATCTGTAAGAAATACAATCTGACTATTCGGTGATTCGGGGTGTTCTGACAGGAGGTTTGCTGCATGCTCTATAGCTTCTTTTTCTGCCCCAAAATTGTCGGATAGGCTGCCTGTGGCTATTGCCTTTTCCAGGCTTTCTCCGCTTGGCCATTCAATAAGGACGCCAGCCCCGCCATTTTTTGTGGCATCTTCAGCTGAGCCATCTGTGAAAACTCTAATCCAGGTATTGCTGGGGTACTGATCCTTAATGTGTTTATTTGTTATTTTCTTTAGTTCTTCTAGATCAAAGTCAGTTTTTGCGTAACTCTTGCTAGATCTGGATTAGACCTATTCTAGATAGATCTAATTCTAGATAGATAAATCACAAAGATTTATATCAAGTATTTAAGGACTAAAAAATGTATTATGATTTTAAAATGGTTTGTATTTTAATCTAATTAATCTTTGGTTTGACCTAGATCCTAGGTCTAGATCTATAAATAACTTTTTTGGCCACCTGATATTTAGATCTATAAAATAACTTTCAGTGGACAGATTGTAGAGCTAGAGAAATTTATTGTAAAACTAAATGAAAAAGACAGTTGGAAATTTATGTAAGTGTTGGAACGTAACAAAGACAGCAAACGGACGTATTGTTAAAGTTATAGCCGACAGAAAATTAGATTTAGAACGCGTTAAATTTTGAATGGGCCACAAAGTCTATGATGGAAGCCGCCATTTTATTGTAATAAAAAGTAGACAAATCATCTGACGTAACTATTCAGTCAAAGTAAAGCCGTTGTTTGAAAATTTTAAAATTAATGTGGTTAATCTACCTATGAATAAATCAATTAATTAATTAACGTCTTTCAATAAATTTGTGATTAACAGTCTGTCTGAAAAGAAAAATTGTTCTCTACCAACATACTATTTTACAGCACTACACATATTTGCAGATTCTCTCCAGTAGCAAATCAGACAAACAAATAAATATTCAAACATGTAAAGGAACTTGAGTTTTAGTAGTATAGAGATAATTGGGATTGTGCACTTTTTGTAGTCTGGCTATATAAATTTATGACACAACCATCATTTTTTTTTAGAAAACAACTCAAGACTGCAGGTTAGTCATTCATTTTTTATTTTTATTTTATTTTACTTTGTTGTTGGTAAAAAAAAAATGGTAAAACAGGTGTTTGAAATGTTTCCCTAGCAAACATAAGTTGTCTGACACTGACCTTCACATACCTGGCACGTACAGGCTGTGGAGCATCACAAGAGAGAAAAACATACCCCAGCATTCAAAACACATTGGCCTCATTGGAATTTATACATACAGAAAGTGTTGATAGAAATACAATAACAATAAAAAAAACAATTTAGCTATTTTATTTTATCAAATTTTCATGTTACAATTTCTAATAATTCACTACATTATAATTTTCATTAGGCTCTAGTGTTTGTTTTTTAAATAGCAAAGAATACAAAATGAAATAACAATTAACCAATAATCACATTATGTTGAAACTAAGATTCCAAAATGTAAAATCTGCAGCGTAAGTCTTTCTTTTCTACAAATTGATAATTTGTATGCTGTTTTAAAAAATTTAAATATTTATTCATAAAATTGTTATGTGTGGTTAATATCTAAATTCTATAGCCTATATGAATGTGAAGAAAATTATTTTGTACTCTTTTTTAAACACATTGCATGTTAAGAGGTGTCTGCGGTTTGGCATAAAGTTCATATGGAGAAGGAGTGCAGAATGATAAAATCTATAGGCATTTATAAAATGTTACAAATGCATTTTATTTAATTGAATACAAAAACATTAATCTAGCAAAAGTAAGGAAGTGACCATAAGCCTTAGAAATGGTTGGACCAAATTGAAACTTGAGGTTAGTTCCATAAGACATGTAAATGAGGGGGGAGGAAGGAGGAGGGGTTCCTAAATGGGATGAATAAAATAATGTCAAACAATGGAAGTAAAAGTTTTAAATTTATTTTTCACTAAATAAGTTTGTATAGGAAGTTAATTGCATCATTTTACTGATCAGAACAAAAACTTAAGTACAAAGCAAGCACTATTCACTGGAATATTAGATTCTTGTTGCTGTTAGATTCTTTATGCTATTAATTGTAAAATTTTAACTGGATCCGAACTTGGTACCTAGTAGAAATTTAATTTATCCAAGTACTAAATTACCATATAAATTTCAATCTCAATTCAATTTACAATAATTTCTGCATTAGCGATGACAGGAAATACATTTCAAGGACAAAAACATTAGGGAAAAATTTTTTGGGGGTAGTCAGTTTTTACATATGGTCTGTGTGAGTTATACATTGCAGACAGTAGAGTTTGATCATATGATTTAAGATTCTATACCACTCAATATAATGATTAAGGTCATTTAGCAAAAGATGAAAAAGTGTTTATTAAAAAAAGATTGTCTGCTCAGAAGTCACTGTAGGCCTATCAACCTAATATTGTCATGAGCTGTTTGTGAATAGTGTAAATGTGTAAAGTTATGAATGAGAATTGTTACGTAGGGGCTTTATATATTGTAAACATCTATTAAATGTAAATTAATTGATTGAACTTTGTGTTTTATGTTAGTTAGCTTCTGTTATTGTTAATAATGAGTGTAATTGGTTTGAGTATAATTAATTCACTTCCTTGTCTCAATGAATGTGCATTGTCAATTTTATATAATGTGAAAAGAACAGGCAAATTAACTGTGTGACCTGAACAAAACCATGCCGGTATAAAAAGAAAACCCTAGGTTTCTAAAGCGATAGCTTAACTTACTTTCAACAAAAATAACACCAAAAAAGTAGGTTACATAAAGAAAAAAAGTGTACACATGCAGCTGACATAATAGAATGCTATTTCCTTTTACAGTCAGAATACAATATTTTTTTTAGAGTATGTATAATAATTGACATGGTATACTCTTTGACAAAACAACCTTTTTATAATACAAATATTAAAATTAATAAACTATGGCCCACTATTGGATGACCTCTAGTTAAAGTTATGTGAAGAAAAAAATGTATAACAAGATATTCAATAATAATTTGCTCTAGTATTAATTATTTATGTTAAAAATGACATTAAATTGGTTTTTAGTCATGATGAATTTCCTGGCTTACCTCTAGAATCAATTTTTTATGACTATTTAAATTAAATATTTAACAAAAAAATTTTGTGACAAACATCAACATTCATGTGGTTTATCTCCTGAATGAACTTTGAAAAAATCTCTGACAAATACCAGATTAATGTGGCTTGTCTCTTGAATGACTTTTTCAAGTGCACTTAAATAAGAACTTTGAGAAAATCTTTCATACAGACAAATGGCTTATAACCTGTAAAAACACTTTTATGTCATAACAAATTATTATTCTTCTGAGTCAACTTTTTGTGACAAATATTACATATCAAATATTACATTCTTGTGGCCTTTCTCCCGAATGATCCTTTTTATGTGTTCTTAAATTAGAACTTTGAGAAAACCTTTTATAACAAACATCACATTCATAAGGCTTATCTCCTAAATGAACCCTTTTATGTGTTTTTAAATTAGAATTATATGCAAATCTTTTCTGACAAACATCACATTCATATGCCTTATCTTCTGAATGAACATTTTTGTGAGTTGATAAGTTTGATTTATTACTAAACTTTTTATGACAAACATTACATTCATGTAGCCTTTCTCCCGAATGAACCTTTTTATGTGTTCTTAAATTAGAACTTTGAGAAAACCTTTTATAACAAACATCACATTCATGTGGCTTATCTCCTAAATGAACCCTTTTATGTGTTTTTAAATTAGAATTATATGCAAACCTTTTCTGACAAACATCACATTCATATGCCTTATCTTCTGAATGAACATTTTTGTGAGTTGATAAATTTGATTTATTACTAAACTTTTTATGACAAACATTACATTCATGTAGCCTTTCTCCCGAATGAACCTTTTTATGTGTTCTTAAATTAGAACTTTGAGAAAACCTTTTATAACAAACATCACATTCATGTGGCTTATCTCCTGAATGAACCCTTTTATGTGTTTTTAAATTAGAGTTATATGCAAACCTTTTCTGACAAACATCACATTCATGTGGCCTTTCTCCTGAATGAACCTTTTTATGTGTTCTTAAATGAAAATTTCGAGAAAACCTTTTATGACAAACATCACATTTATATGGCTTATCTCCTGAATGAACATTTTTGTGTTGTAATAAATTTCTCTTCAGACCAAACTTTTTATGACAAACATCACATTCATGTGGCTTATCTACAATATGCATTTTCACATGAGTATATAATCTACTATGATAAGAGAACCTTTTATTACAAACATTACATATGTATAGCTTATCTCTTGAGTGCTCTTTTTTATTTTTACTGAAATTACAACTTTGAGAAAGATTCTCATGGTCACCATCATATTCAACTTGCTCATTTTCTTCTTGACCTGTTTCATGTTTTTTTAAGTTAGAACTTTGAGAAAACCATTTGTGTTTGTGACTAGGAACAATCTGGTATCTTTTGTCTCTAGAAAACTGGAGATTTTCTTCAACTTGAAGTTCAAGCCCTTTTTGTTGTTTATCCTCAAAAAATAAAAATCCTGTCAATAAATCTGGTTTTGAATCTTCACAAGTTGATAAAGTTGTGACTTCTAATTTGTTATCTTCAGATGTTGATAATGTTGATACAGCAGGCTTTTTATCTTTACAAATTAAAAACTCAGTTGTAACATCAGGTTTAACATCTTGCAAGCTTATAAATGATTTGTTGGGTGGAAATTTATCAAAAGATGAAAAACTTAAAAATTCTGTTTCTGTGTCATTAGAAGATGAAAATTCTGTTGTAGTATAGGGTTTATCATCTTGAGAAGCTGAGAATGTCATGTTGGGTTTTGCATTAACCATAGATGAAAATGTTTTAAATTCTGTTTTTATGTCTTTAGAAGATGAAAATATTGTTGATAGATCTGGTTTCAAATCTTCAGAGTTTAAAAATTCTGTTAATTTGTGTGACTGTTCATCTACAATAGATAACATTGCAGCTAAATGTTCTGTTTCCTCTTCCATTCTTGACTGTTTTTTTTATAAATCAACTGATGATTAAAAATGTTATAAATGTTAAATTAAAAAGTGGTGATTATAAAGTCAGAATAAAGTATTATTGTTAAAATGGCAAAATTAATGGCAGAAGGTCTGTTAATCTTTTCACACTGTCTGATGTGATCTAAAAATAGATCGCCAGTAATGCCAAGGCTATCATTAGATTAGGACTGCATATTAATATTCTTTAAATATTCTTAAAAAACACAAATTAGTAATCCAGTACTGCTTATTTTGGCTAACGATTGAGGAATTACCAAATTTGCTTCGATCCTTTCACATCCAGTCGAGGTTATATCAGTGGCGGAACTAGAAAAAAAGGCCCACCCTGCAAAAAAATTTCTGGGCCCTCCTATATAGTCAAGTAAAGTTTCCCTTTCAAACCTAACGGTCTATGGGGCAAGTGTTTCTGTGACCTTGGCATATGAAGAGATAGTGTGGTCAGCACTATGCCCAGCTGCCTTTACTTTTCCTAACGTTAGTTAGGTACCCATCAGAGTTGGGTGGACTCAGGAATGGTCTACTGACTTGTACCCGTATTTGAACTCGAGACTTACGGGTTAGCAGTCCACCTCTCTACCGCTAGACCACTCCGTCCCATCCCTTATATATATATATATATATATATATATATATATATATATATATATATATATATATATATATATATATGTCTATATACAAACACAGAATACAAACATTGGATATTCATTTCTGGCCTGAACGGGTTTTGAAAAAAATGTTGTTTTTTTTTAATTCAAACAAATGACAACAAGTCATGTGTGTGAGTGCATTAGTCTGTTTTGAATTTTTTTTTTTACATTTAGTACTAGTTTATTCAATATGTTTGATGTACTACTGCGTACCCTCTATTCGTTAGCCGGTCAAAAGAATATAAAGCGTTATGTTTATTTTTATGTTTTTTTTGTATTTGTATTATTTGTTTTAAATATATTTCCTTTTAATACTATGTCAATCTTTGGTATGTATTTTTTTTAAAAAATAATAATTAAGAGAAGTAATTGCTTTTTAATTTGATTAGTACAAATATATTAAAAGGAGCTTATGAGCACCGCTATTTGACCATTTCAAAAAGGGAAATAAGTCATGAAGTATTTTGAACGTTTGCCTATCGTTCACACTACAGCCCAGGCAGAGAATCTATGTATTTTTTTACGCAACAGCATGTGTTAGCTACTGTATATCATCACTGCTGTAGTAGATCTGTTTGTTATTTACAAAAACTTTTACCGTCAGGTCAAAAATGCAAGAAAATTTTTTTTTTTTTTGTAACTCTAAAAAATGTAATATGATCGGCCATGGGCCCCTAAATGGCGTGGGCCCCCCTGCATTGCGGGGTCTGGCGGCCCCTGGGTTATATATATTGTCACTTGGTTGGCAGGAAATAAGAACAGTGTTTATTTCTTTGAAAGAATGAGAGAAGATATTGCATATTTCTTCAAACATAAGACTTAATTGGCAGATGAAAAACAATGACACATTTTATATGTCAAAAGATACTTATTTCATTAATTCAGCTAAAATTGTTAATACGAGCTGACCCACGGCTTATCATATGCCGCTATTTAGTTGTTTTATTTTCTACTTTTCAGTAATTCATAATTTGTGAATTCGACAGTACCACTGCTGTCACTGAAAATATTTGCTTTAAAAAACTATCAGTAAGCCGTTAAGGACGATACACCCCCCTCCTTTCCCCCAAACCCTACCCCCCCCCCCCCCCCCCCCCCCCCCGTGAAAGCAGCCTCCTCTTAGCTACCTGCCCTAATAGCCGACACTAAACCCGGCTCTCTGATTTTAAACATTTAGCGTGAACCACAGCACACCAGACTTCCTAGAGAGGAAGAGAAGGGACTGCAAGGCGCACTTACAGCTTGTTTTCTAACGTCTCCAAGAAGAGAATTATATATATAGATTTGTATTGAAAAAAAAAAATTAATATTATTTTCTTAGACTTTTTACCCTACCCATTATCCCTTAACCCAACCCTTGACCCTAAACTTATGTAAGATATAATGCATTAAAGAAATAATATTAATGTCATTAGCACTAAGAACAAAAAAAAACCTCAATTATAAGAGGTTTCAAGTGCAAAACCAATACTTAATATTTCTTCGCACTAGAGATTCTACCATGCAGTGCAAGAAATAATTTGTAATAATAATAATAATATATAAAATTAAACAAACCTCTCTTGAAAATTCTAAAATATACACTTCAGTTAAACAAATTCTAAAAATATGTAAGCCTACAAATAGAAGAAGCAAAATATAACCACAAGATGTGAGAGGATATAAGAATGATGCATTTTCTCTATTGTTGGTAGCCATAAGTATTTCCATATAATACATTATTCATGTTTATTTTAAAAAATCCAGTAATTCCTAAGCTTACATTTGCAACGCCACTAGTCATGTGATCTGTGTGTCTTTTTTACGCTTTATAATACAGATTTTTGGGTGCACAAACAACTAAGAAAAGAAAATTAAATGTATCTTCTCATTATTTCCCCATTTATCGACCTTAGATAATTCTTCTAGGCTTGTAAGTTATTAAAAAAATGTTACTGCCACAAAATATAGTCTACATTTAGTAACTCTTCCAATGTCATTGTCTGCTTTGAACATGTTTGCAAAAAAAAATGATTCTGTAATTCAATTATTTACATTAAACTATTGCATGTAGCATTTGTTTTTCAAGTTAGAGACTAAATAGTAACGGCTAAGGCTATTCCCACCTGGTTGAGAATAGCACTATTTGGTTTATTTCCAGCAGACTAGGAATAGCACCCACAGCTATTCACAGTTAGCTGTCATTTTTGCTATATACAACTGGGAATAGGCCTAATATTTTACGATAACAAAAGCATTTATGGTGACTAGGGAATGAAGTATCGATTATGTGTTATTGTTTTATAAAAAAAATAATTATTATTAGTTTAGCCTTTGGTTCATATCTGCTGCATAGTGCGTTGGTCTTAGTCTCAGAGATCAATCATAAATTCTAACTAAATCTATACTAATCAATCAGGGATTTCTATCTGTAAATATGTCAGCAATCATGTCACAAACAGAAAAAAAAAACAATTGCAAAAAATACAATTTGGACAACAGGTGGTCTACATCACATGCCATCAATAAAAAAGCATTTGATGGGTTCAGCCCACACTATCTGGCATAGTAACCACCCAAATATCCACTTGACCACACTGCTTCATCAACATTTGGGCTTTTTAACATTATATGTATAAAACAAAACAGTCACAACTGTAAATAGCCTTATTGACTGGAAATAGACACTTTGAATAGTAAATAGACTAGATTAACATAAAAATATTGAATCAATACTTACCCTAGCCTTTTAACTTATTATTTACTTATGTATTTAGCTTTAATACAATGTTAAGGAGGGAGCTTTCGGTGGCAACCCAATGTGAATGGGCAAAATAGGAAATCATGTTAAAAGCTATCACTACTCTTTCACTATCACTGACTGTCAGTGATAGTCTTTCAAGCAAGAAACATTTAAATAAATTTTTTCCTTTAATTTTATCATGATTTGTGTGCAGATCTAGAATAGATCTAGATCTAGATGTTTTATTATAGTATGGCTAAGTATAGTGTTAATAAATTCAGAGAAATTGAAATTGTGTAAAAATTCAATTTAAATAGGCCTAGGAGGAATTTATATACCAGTGTCCGATAATAGAATCTTCTTTAAAAAGGGGGTGCTAGGTTTCTGATAGTTATTGCTGACTGATGTCAATGCTAACCCACCCTGTCCTTAACCCTAAGCCCTAACCCCAACCCCAGTTACTATGAGTAGTTAATCCTAGATCTAGATCTAGATCTACCATACGCCCATACGCGATACGCCTAACATTTCTAATAATAAAATTACTGTAAACTGTAATCTATCGTTTTATGTACGTAAAATGATAAAAATCGCCCGCGACTAGATCTAGACCTAGAAGATCTAATTAAAATCTATAACTATAACTACGAAAAACAGGTGACTCCTTAAATTTTAATAGGCCTAATCTAATTATTATTATTTCACATTTTGAGGAGGATTTAGATCTATGTTTTGAAAAATACAAAAATGTTTCCTTGTTTCATTTATGTACCTGTTTTCAAACAATTGAATTAAAACTTTTCAGTAATAAATGAAGACTAGCGATGTTTACAACAGATGCAACCATGCTCATTTGCTATAGCAGCCATCTTGTTTATTTTTTTTTAATTATTGTAAACTTATAACGCAAGATTCAGGGGAAGCCACTCTAACTTACCAATGGCCGCTTTTTAGATAGCAAATCCTGCTCGCAAACATGTCAAAGAATTAAGTTTTCAATGCAGATATTGGGTAACATTTAAATTTTTGATTCCTTAGCAATTTAAAAATCTACAATAAAAAAACAACATTCACATAGTTTTCGTCATCATTGTTTTGTAGTTATCAGAGGCGTATCGACCCTTCCCGGCGCCCGGGGACATACTTTCAATTTGGCGTCCCCTTGGGAGCAAATTTTCGATTTGCACCCCCCCCCCCCTCGAACTTTTCATTTGCACCCCCCCCCCCCCTCCTCAAACTTTCGATTTGCACCCCCCCCTCGAACTTTTCATTTGCACCCCCCCTCAAACTTTCAATTTGGCGCCCCCCCCCCCCCCCCTAAGGTCGGCGCCCGGGGACATATGTACCCCCCCCCCCTCGCTACGCTACTGGTAGTTATTAGATCTAATTCTCATAAATTTTTCATATAATTTTTAAATTATATTATGCCTTTTTTAAGACAAAGTTTGGTAAATTATGTTATTACTTCCCTTGGTTTACAATACGATGAAAATGAAAGCAACATAGAATCTAGTAAACTTTAATTTCTCTTTCATAATAAACTACACAGATAGACTAAAAATGTCCGTAGTGTTCTTTGTCTGGTCGTGTTAGTTAAGTTAAGTGTGATTGCTTTATTTGTTATGGCTGTTTGATTGGTGGTTTTTAATATTTTCGCAAAAGATTGCTTTGCGTTTTGTACAAATATACAATCTAAATAAATATGTTTCTCAGTTCTTTACATTTTGTTTACAAGTTTGACATGTTATTTTAACATTTTCATTTGACTTAGTATTTCGTGCAACGGGTGTTGTATTCAAAATCAGTATGTGTGCTACTTCCCTTTCTTTTTTTTTAAATTTCAAATCATACAACTTTAATTCTTTACGGCATATTTTCTAATTGGATTAAACCCTGTTTTCGTGACTCCTTTTTACTCTTGCAGGTGAGTTCATAAGGTGTGAGTGCACGTCTCATTGCCCTGGTCATCTTTTGTCCCAGGTCCTTGGGTTTGTGAGTCTTCTTACGGTAGAATTTACGTAGGTTTTCCTTCTGTGTCTGGTTGATGAAAGTTAGGACACAAGCAACTGATTTGCGCACTGTGTAGATCTTAGCTATTTTAGCTGCATCTACACCAAGTGTCTGCAGTTCATTTTTTAGCTCATCAAGCTATTTCAGAAGTCCTTCCTTTTTTTTTTTTGCCACATCTGCATTTTTAGCTATACTTGGTAATACTGTTATTGTTTTTTTCCCCTTAGTTTTTTAAGTAGTATAAATGTGAAGTTACTTTTTTTTTTCTTTTTTTTTTGGGAGGCTTGTACGGTTTTACAATATTAATTCTTCTTTTTCAATGCACGTTTATGTATCTAAGATAGTATACTTATACATACAACAAAACATCTAATTAAAATTTATTTTCAAATCTGAAAATGCGAGTTAACTGTGTTTGTCACCCGCACATATGGGGCGGTCAACCCGAACCACACGTGCTCTGGTTGTGATTTTATTTCGTTGTTTCTTTAATTTTGCTTTACTATTTTTGTTATTCATGTTCTTTTATTATAATTGTATCAAGCAGTTTTAATAAATCTCATTTATATTTTACTGTGTCATTTTTTTGGTGATATTTTACTATCGTTGTATCAAGTAGTTTGATATATACTATATATTATTGCTGTTCTGCATTATTACTTACATACTTAACATTGTTACCCTGTTTGTGACTTAGATTACATAATTGATTAACTTAGACTTTACCCTGTACGTGCCCTAGCGCACTGGCATATGAATACTAATATGACTTTAAAACTATTTCTGTCTTTTGCGAAGACACGGACACGCCTTTCTGGTGATCCGATGTGTAGCGCAACACATAAAACAAACAACCACAAACAGGTAAAAAAAAAAACAAGTACTAAGGCTTGTGCCTCTTTCTCAATAGTTGAGTAGTTGCGTTGGCCAGCATTTAATTTTTGTGAGAAATAGGCAATGGGATGATCCATTCCATTTGGATCCTGACCACAATCCCTTAACTTTCATGAAAAAGTTTGGACATAAAAATCCCAGGTTAGTAAGATGGGCATTGTATCTTCAAAACTTCGACTTGTGCTTTAAACACATTAAAAGTCGTCATAACCTGGTTGCAGATGCCTTGTCGCGTATCCATTAAGTGGTCCTATATTGATTACACCACTGCAACTAATGCCATGATGTATGTATTTTATGAATAACAACACTCACTAACCTTCGATTCTTCTAAGAAGAGAACGTTTTCGTATTTTACTGCTATTTGTTTTGTGGTAGTGAATACTAACGATAACATCATAATACTTTGTTCAGCCGTTAACAGCATTATTTCTACTTGAAAGTACCAATGGCAGCACTGTCAGATTTTGGCGCCTAAATTAGAGCTACATTAAATACATTTAAAATGATGTACCTGCTGCTTTGAAAAAAAAATCCCCATAAAGAAAATACGAAGTTTAAATTGTCAACAAATATATTTCTATGTTATGTAAGAGGGGTTTTCAAAACGCGTATAAGGTAATGAGGGTCGAGGGCCTTGATAATAGTTAAGAACTGAATGGTCTATACTAATATGCAACGTATTTAACCTAAGGGAAATAAACAGCTATGTTTTTATTAAATGATTTTAAAATTAAAAAGAAAAGCCAAAGTCAAGTAACGTGAAAATTAAAAATATTTTTAATGAATATATATTTTGTTTAGTGATTTTCTCTTACTATAAGCATTTATAAAATACCGTATTTTTTGTGTACACCTCATTTTAGTTCGCAACTAGTAGACGTGCATTGAACGCTCACGTACAAATAAAATGTCGACAACACTTTTTATTTCACTTAATATCAGTAAACCCTTTGTAATACTAGCCATAGACTATTTGTAACAGTCTGTACGTAGCATAATACGAATGCACATGAGAACCATAATTGCACACAGAGGCATAGCGTGAGCGAAGCGGGAGGTGTGGGTCGCACCGGGTGACACCATTTAGGGGGTGACACCAAGGTAAAAAATTGCTTAATTTACAGAAGAAAAAGTTTTCTTGCCAGCTCAATAGATAAATAATCAAAGTTAAATAGTCTTTTAAGTAGAAATCAACAATTATAAAAAGCGGGTGGAGGTGACACCATGAAGTGTAGACAGCGTAAATGTAGATAGTGTTAGTGTTGGCCAGGGGAGTGTGTAGGGAGAAGTCGAGTGGTAGTAGTAGTTAGATTGATGTGGTAAGTCGTTACCTCTAGTGTGGTTGTGGTAAGTCGTTACCTCTAGTGTGGTTGTGGTCAGTCGTTACCTCTAGTGTGGTTGTGGTCAGTCATTACCTCTAGTGTGGTTGTGGTCAGTCGTTACCTCTAGTGTGGTTGTGGTCAGTCGTTACCTCTAGTGTGGTTGTGGTCAATCGTTACCTCTAGTGTGGTTGTGGTTAGTCGTTATACTCGGGTTTTGTTTCAGTTAAAATGATTAGTTGCCATATTTATCATTTGTAATGCGGTCTACATTAAGGTATATTATTTTTTTTTATAGAAACTTCAAACTTTAAACAGATCTTTTTTTTAAACCGAGAATAAATATTTTTTGCTAAACATACAGAAAGTATCTGAGCGGTGAGCAATTTGAATGTTTGTTATATATAAGAGCCACTGTGTAAGAAAACTATAGGTTACATAATTAATCTATAAAAAAGTATAAACCGTTTGTAAATTATAAAATACATTTAAACAAGTATCAGGTTTATTAATTAAAATGTAATACAATTTTACAACAATGTGATAATAAACAGTGTGAAGCGTATTTTTAAATAGAATTATTTTTAATATATCTTCTGTTGGAAAAACATTTGCTTATTACTTCCCTTTAACTTACTACTTTGAAGTAGGTTAATGTATCGTCAACATAAACACATGTACCTTTCCTAACACACAAGACAATGGTTTTTAAACATTTTTAATTGTAACTATTTTTTTAAACTCAAACATACGTATATATTTTCAAGGTGCACACAATAAACCTTGCATCAACATAACTGTGTTCAAAACAAAACCACCAACATATGATTATCACACAAAGACAAAACATTATAAAGAATATTTACTGAAAATCAATGCGACTTCTGCTGTTGCCTTTCTCACACGGCTTCTCCAGGAATTCAACGAGCGTTGTTTATTTTCCATATCAATGTAGCTTATGATAGTGTTCTTGTAGTTTTACCGGTGCTAGACTAGAATTGTTAGACTTGGCATTAATTACAGATCTTGCAGTTAAGACGCTGGCCTATGTCAATCTATTTTGTCTTTATTTGTCTGATTGTTTTTGTTTATTTTTCTCGTTATAGGATTAAGCTATTAATTGTATTGAAAAAGAAATCACACGACGTACCATCACGACAGTCGAATGCTGGGCCACTATATAGACATTTCTGACCCAGCGGTTTCTAAACATTTTGTTGCAGTGTGACCTACTTAGGTCGAGTCAGGTTCCATTTTATTTTGACATTGTATAATACCTTATAGGGAGTGATGGTGCAACTCCTGGGGTTTTTCCACTGTCTTATTAAGGTGTCTAAGACGTAGAAATTTTCCATTAAGATCTGATTGAATGATTCTGATCAGATGACTATCCCAACCAATGGCTACATGAGTTGAGGATAATCTCCCCTGTTGCAGAAGTCTTTAATTGCACCGCACACTCGCCACACGTGGCAGTTTACCTTGATCAGGCAGTCTACCTTGATCAAACAGTCTATTAAGACCAGGCCGTCCATATTGTCCGGCAATAGATTCTGACCATTTGAACGTGAGAGAACTTAAGTCCTGTGTGTGTTAGGCTTTCTTAAGTTGATTTAGTCTTCTAGTATAATATTACTTGTCGCCAAGTGATTCTTGAAGCTATAGCAGTGTTGTGTGGCCTGTGGCTATTTTTAGGCAGTGTTGAAATCTGTGATAGTGTTTTTTCTTACACTTTGTAAGTTGGGTTTTGATATTTTATAAATTAAATATTTTATCTAGTTTAACCTTGTGTTCTGCCACAACTGTGTTCGCTTATTAAAGGTTGTATGCAGATTGGATGAGTGTTAATTTCAATAGTATCACTAGTTTTCCCTAGACATCGAATTCGAGCCCTAGTGTGCTGTCGAGTTAGTGTTCATCCATTTAGGCTGTAAGTCATTTGCATATAACCCCGAAAAAAGAATCCGGGGACGTTCACCATCTATCTGGCTGATAGATAGGTAAACGTTACAAAGTGGGGGCTCGTCCGGGATTTAATCTGTCGTTCCAGTTGTGGGTTATATCAGTTAAACACTAAGTTTAGTTTGATTTAGTGGTTTTTCTATCCAGTGCGCCGTGTTCTTACAGCGCGCGCAAGAGGTATCTAGGTCAATAGCCAGACGTGTCACGATAAGAGGTCAAGTACACGGCCCAACGCTCAGTGTTAAGTTAGAAAATCTAGGCTTGTTGTGTTTTGAAAGTTAGTGTTATGGAGTCTTTTTTGGCTAATCCCACTTTTGAGGAGGTCGAGAAGTTGAGTAGAAAAGTTTTGATTAGTGTTGTTAAGGAATTGAAATTGGATTATTCTGTTACGCAGAAGTCAGAGGTGTTGAGAGATAAAATTGTTGTTCATTTTATTAATGAAGGGGTATTTGATGAAAGTTTGTTGGCAGGTGTGTTACTCCGCGAGGAGAAACCTCTAGAGAAGATAGAATTAGAAGCTAGAATTGCTTTAGAGAAGGCTTTAAAAGAAAAGGAGTTAGAGGCTAAAATTGCTTTAGATAAGAGGAGGTTGGAATTAGAGTTTGGTCAAGTTAGTGATGTTACTTCTCTGGTAGATCCAAAAAAGTTGTCGGTGGGGCAAGTGATTGCCAAATTTGGGAAATTAGTTCCTAAGTTTGATGAAACAGATTTGGTCGTTTTCTTTAACTCATTTGAGAGTTTAGCGAAGACATGTGAATGGCCCGAAACTTCCATTACTGCTTTATTGAGCTCGGTCCTTACTGGGAAAGCTGCAAAAACATACCAGGCACTCTCTCACGACGTTCAAAATAACTATAGTTTGGTCAAGACTGCCATTTTGAAGGCCTACGCACTGACGCCCGAGGCCTATCGGATAAAATTCCGAACACTCCGCAAGTTACCCACTCAATCATATGTGGAATTTCTCTTTGAAAAGGAGAAAGTATTCTCAAGGTGGCTACACTCTGAGGAAGTTTCTGAGTTTGAGAAACTCAGGTCACTTATCCTAAGGGAAGAATTCCTAACGGCCCTGCCTGAAGAGATACGACTACACATACTGGATAACAAGATAATTGACATCCAGAAGGCTGCTGAGTCGGCTGACACATATATGTTGGTGCATAAGAAACCACCAGTGTCAGGAAACCGCCTCAACCCCGTGCTTCCCCTTTTTGGCAGCAATCCTCCTGTTGGCCAACACGTGAAGGCATCACAGTCCAGAGAGAAATCAAGATCAACTCTCAATCGTCGAGCAGTATGCTAGTTCTGCAAAAGACCTGGTCATCATGTCAAGGACTGTTACAAACGTCGTCAATATAACAGAGAGGTGGTGCGTACTTCTGCGCACTATGCTCTATCCCCTCAAGCAGCCAGTTCAACTATGAACTCTAGAATTCTAAAGGACTCTAACCCTAAGTGTCCGCAAGAAGGTAGTCAAGTCTCCACACATTATGTGCAGTCACATTTTGACTGTTCACGCCACCATCCAGTTTCTTCCGAGTCTACCGATCTCGAGGGATCGAGAAAAGTTGACTTTTCATCTTTTATTGCCGAAGCCATCATTAGCAAACCAGGTGATCCGTTGTCTCAGCGGAATATCACCGTCCTAAGAGACACAGGAGCGTCACAATCACTTCTTTTGAAAAGTTCAATGGACATTACACCAGAGACGAACACCGGAAATATTTCCATTATCCAGGGAGTGGGGACAAAATCTACTGTCGTCCCTCTACACAAGTTTGCCCTGAAACATC